ATAAGACATTTTTCACTTCAGCCTTCAGCCTTCATGAATAATTATATATCAATTATAAATGATTAAATACAAGATTAATAGTAGTTATAATTATTGTGCTTGGATGCTTGGAAAAAAATATAATCAGAATATCAACTTGCATAATAATTATGCATGCACTGTATTTGTCCTCTTGAGGTAATGTTGTGACTGGTTGTCAAGGCAGCCAATCAGAATTTAGCAGCCTCTGTCTCTGATTGGCTGGAATTATGGCACATTGTAACGCTGGGTTGTGTTGAGCACGCGAGCTGTTGGCATTTTGTGAGCACAGAGGGGGGGCATCAGGTGAGCAAGCTAGTGGAACGTTGCACGCACAAAACAGAAGGTCTGCACACATCCAAAAACGTATTTTAAATGCAAAATTGATTTCCATGCGCTCTAAATACTTTTTTCTTTGCGAAACGAACATTTTCTCCACAAACTCAGATCGCGCGCGTGCAAAATGCACTTTTGTGCGCTCAAAATATGATCTTTCGCGCGCAGAATTGTGGCGGAAATGTAAGCCCATAGTTGTGTTCCTCTGCGGCCAGATTATTAACAGATGCTCTATTCATTCTTTTTTTAGAAACCTCGCACTTTTCTACTAAATTTTAAACATTGTAAAATTAAGCGTGGTCCACTGCTGCACACGTGCCACAGTATCGATAAAGGGCCAGCTGTATCGAAACTTGTATCGTCAAATCTCTGTGACGATACATCGTCGTATCGATATTTTGAACACAGCACTAGTACAGACTGAACAGAATGTCAACACATCCCACCGCTGTATGGCCAGATGATGCAAACTACGTTTTCTCGACTTGATAACCAGTCTCGCTAGTAAAGGTTTGATAGATAAAGACTGCAATCAAGGTAAAGACGATTGCGGTGGCATACAGGAGTTGTACAGTACAGTACGCACGCGTGAGTCCGTTATATTAATGCGTGTATGAGTGCTCTTGATGCACTGATCACACATTGTATGCACAGACACAGACATTTCCGTACATTCACGTTGTTTCCACACACATTCACGATAATGTTTTCATTTGTCATGTTTATGTTGCTGTGTTATTTATACAGAATGGATCCGTGTACTGTAGATATATGCAGTCAGCAGGTGGTTGGTTTAGTTTTTCTTTCTTTTTTTGGCATCTCCATGTGGTCCTGTTCGGTATCGCAACTTGACTTCTCTAAAATGTAAAAAAGCTCTTTGCTGTTGCACTGTACACATACTATAAAATTCAGATTTGTTTTCTTTCATATATGCTTATATGGGCTCCTTATCTCATTTGGTTCTTTGGTGTCCTTTTAGAGTTTCTAAGTGTCCTTTTTTGGAAAGACATCTAAATTTATCTTGAAAAAAGCTTGCAGAAAATATAGATTTTTTTAGAATCACCCTTCAATATGTATAGACACATCACCTCATCCTCTTATCACCAAATCAACATGTGATGATTATGGACGGATTAATCAAAGATATATTTCTGACTTATGAGAATGGCTCAGACTCCAGACTGTTCAACGCAAACAAACACAAAGTATTGAATGACCCTTGAGCAAGACACATGAATAAATGAATTTGCTAAAAGACTACCTAATAAATTGTTTATTTTTTACCAAAAAAGTAATCCAGCAATTTTTACATTACACCATGTCCAAACCAAACGCAATATGATAAAAGTAATGCTATCAAACGATTAATCGTGATTAATCGCATCCAAAATAAAAGTGTTTGTTTATATAATATATGTGTGTACTGTGTATATTTTTAATGTATATATAAATACACAAACATACATGTATATATTTTTAAAATATTTACATGTATGTATGTATATATATATATATATATATAAACCTAAACTGTGAAGCAGAAATCAAGGGAGAGTCAGTGATACCTTCTCAGTGTAGGTGACATTGTATGGCACTAGGAGTGGAGTGAAGAGCTGGATGATGTGGTCAGTGCTGAGGATTTTCTGTTGCTGAAGCTGAAAGAAGTGTCTGAAACAGCAGTCCCACAGCAGAGCGCTTTCAGCTGACAGACATGACCTGCATGCCCAAACCAGGATGAAGAAATGTATCACACACACAACTGCATTCATATACATCACAATCAAATTACTGCAAGAAACATGAACCACCCTGTTATCGGCTCATTCATACAATATATTTTTTTATATTGTTATTTTTCTAATACTTTATTGTGGTTTTATTTGTATTTCTTTTATTATGCACATATAGTTGATATAATTTAAACAAAAATGTAATATTACAAACATAGCTTAGTACTTTGTCAGTCTTCTTACACTTATATAAATTCTTATAACATTGAATTAGTAATAAACCAAATTAAAACTACACTAGTTAAATCATTCCAAAACACAAGAAACAAAACAAAAAATAGACTCTTGGACTGTAAGAATATGTTTTAATGCATTTTGGTTTAACTTATGCTAAAGGACATATTATTCAAACAATCAAACAGTCTCTTGCTATACATAAGTGAAACAACCTAAATGGATGCTATAAGTCCAGAGAACAGTAAAGCACAATACCTGATCTGTTCTGGTTTTGTAGCTGATGACCAGTGAGTGTTGATCAGATCACTGGGTAACAGACATCCATGAGACAGACTGCAGGACAACAGGGGCAGCTGCTGCAGAACAACAGCACCACACGAATGCAGCTCCACACCATCCAGACGCCCACACTGACCACATATACTGGGCAATACATAAATAAAAAAAAATCACACTAGAAATGAGAATGTGTGGAGTGTAGGCACACACATTTGAGCCTCCCTTGAAAAATCACACAAATAATGCAGTATTACTAAAAGTAGACTTATTTTATTAGTACAAATATTCTCCACTTCTTTCAATCTACACAAATAAAAGCAATAAACTAGCATGTATAGGCGCCGTTCCAAAATGGCTACTATAACAATTTACTGTGATTCAAAACCCCTTAGAAACCAAGATTTATTGCTAGAGTGTTGTTGGAGCCAAAGTAATGGCACTTAATTTATAGTGAGAGCCCTTAAAGGCAGGGTAATGCAATTTCCACAGAATCTGTGAACACTACAGCATCATGAGAGGAAGCAGACTCAAGCAGGGAACAAAACATCTTGCTTCTCTGACCTGATGATATCATCGAGTTTCTGCTCATTGACTGTGCTTCTGTAGAGGTTCACGTCTTTAGCACCGAGACGTCGCTCAATGCTGTCCAGAAGATGACAAAATCCTTCCATGGAGAGCCTGGAGAAATGTTCCAAAAATAAGAACAAACAACAAGAAGTTAAATTATTGTGTATGTTGAATATTTACTGTTATTGTATATAGCTTTATTAACTTTCCTCTTGCATGTTGCAATTCTACAACAAGAAACTACATTTGCCAGACATTTTATTTGTGTAATGTAATATTTCTGAGCAAAAAAGGATGTGTAATGGGATATATATATATATATAAGCTGGGACTTGAAATTATCCACTAGGAATTGACATGATCAGAGAAAGTGAATATTCCATTTCGGAACAGAGCCAGACCTGAGAGAGTGAGTTTGCAGTGGATTCTGGAGGACTATTTCCCTCCTGAAAAATTTCCGGCACACACTTCTGAGGGGAATTTAGAACCGGGATGAGGAGGCTGAAGATTAAGTTCACCCTTGAAAGCATCTAGACATATACTAATTGTAACTCTTTTTCAAATCTACCATGATTTGCTATTATTGCCGTCACATTAATTACATTAACTGACTTTACATTACTATTTACATATTATTACTTAACTTTATCCAACAGCGTGAAAACAGAGGGGGAGCATTTATTTATATTATATGTATAATATATCTTTATTTATATAGCACTTTATACAATACGGACTGTGTCAAAACAGCTTTACAGTGTTAAACAGGAAATGATCTGATCTGGATATGGACTGGATCTGGGTGGCTACGGTGACCTCAGAATAAGAATGAAACAGTCTTATATTAACATAGTATATACGCCATTCTTCTTACGATGTAGTGAGTACATCGGGTGTTATGGGAAATGTTCCCGTTCCGGCTGACCTAATTAATGCAGCCTAATAATCTTTTAACGGATTTGAATTATAGAAATGCGACGGTGTATTATGTGTGTGCCAGGTTAAAGAGATGGGTCTTTAATCTAGATTTAAACTGAGTGTGTCTGCCTCCCGAACAACACTAGGTAGATTGTTCCAGAGTTTGGGTGCTAACTAGGAAAAGGATCTGCTGCGCCCTGTTGACTGTGATATTTTAGGTATAATTGTCTACCTAGGTCGTAATTTAGATATCTGTTTAAGATGGAAAAATGTGGTTTTACAAATGCTAGGAACATGAATTTCAAAGGAAAGATTGCTATCAAATAGCACACCTAGGTTCCTAACTGATGACAAAGAATAGACAGCGCAACCATCAAGTGTTAGACAGTGTTCTAGTTTATCACATGCATTACATGTTTTTGGTCCGATAATTAACACCTGTTTTTTTTATATATATATTAGCTATGCATTCCGCTAGTTTTGCGAATTGGTATGTTTTGTCGGGCCGTGAAGAAATATAGAGACAGAGAGAAGTGGTCGACCGACATATCGTCAAGGCCGATATTGGCTGATATTTGCCATTTTTCAAATATCGGCATCGGCCGATAAGTTTTTCTGTTTGAGTCAGGACTTTTATTTTGACAGGGAATGGCAGCGCCTACACACATAGCACTCACATTCTCCCTCTTCATTGTTTGCTGTCGCCGTTTAATAGTTCTGTCTGACACAGATAGAAGTCTGTCTAATAATCAGACAAAACTGTTAAACATTGTACAGTAAGAAAGTTATTTCCTTTAACCAGGAAATTAACGTTCTTAGAATTGACAAGACGGTTGACCCTGAGTGGTCAGCTAAATATCTACAGTGGATCTAAAATATGAATAGTTAATTATAACTAGTTATGGTTAATTATTCATATTTCCCCATGAGCTGATTCGCTACAGAAGTATACAAAAAAACTATTATAACGATTTTTTTTAGTGCTTATATATATATATATATATATATATTAGGGTTGCACAATAAATCGCATGCGATTGTCATGCGCATCTTGTCAGTAAAGCCAGTTCTGTAATTAGTAGTAAATCTTCATCACATGCTTTCAGATGGAGCGGCATTTACTACACAGAGCAGTAGTTCACTGACAAGCTACGCAATATCGCGTTCATAATCGCAGATGAATCGCCTGCGATAATGAACGCGATATTTATTGAACCGGCTTCACCGACAAAATGCGCATGACAATCACATGGGATTTATCGTGCAGTCCTAACACACATATATATATATATATTTTTTTTTTTAATTAAATTTTTTTTTATATATTTTATATACAGAATCAAGAAGTTGTCACCTAAAGTATAAGTATGTTTTTGACTTTTTTTTTTTTTTTTTAATTATTTCAAATTTCTTAAATACTGTATTAATAATTCAAATAAATAAAAAATTATATCTATCTATACTGAACAATATGATAAACGCAACACTTTTGTTTTTGCCCCCATTTTTCATGAGCGGAACTCAAAGATCTAAGACTTTTTCTATGTACACAAAAGGCCTATTTCTCTCAAATATTGTTGTTACGCCCCGTCTAGGGGTAAAGGACGCAACATGAAAAGAGAGAGAGGAAGCGGGGAATCTTTTGAGAGTTTTTAATGAAACCAAACAAAGAAAAGGTACAATCATCAAAATAAATCAATGAATAGGGAATTTCCTTCAGGAGTTGGCCAGGCCAAAATAATAAACAAAACTTCTTTATTTTAAGACCTCTTTCCTAAACCCTATACAAAATAGAATAAAATAAAAAGTACAATATACTAACCTAACTCCCTAACCAAAAACAGAGATCAAAAAGGTTACAATAAACAAAATGGCGTCAAACTCCTTACTTTCTCCCAACCCTCTATATTTACAATGATATACAACTATTTACAAGATAAGGCAAACAGAGTTAAAAGGAGAATCCAAATCCACGTCATGCCAAGCAATGGGGTCAAAACGAAACAGTTCCTACTTACAAAATTCGTATCTCTTTTAAAGATCAAACAATCCTCACTCTAAACAACCCACATTCAACTAAGAGAACACACAGCCAAAACCCAACATCTCTCTCTCTCAATGCCAATTGCATGCTCCCTCAAAACTTGCGACAAAACATTGATAAATATAAATATTTTTCATTAAGAGCTCAACTAAGACATATTTGTTTTGACGAATGTAAAATATCAAGGTTAGATTAACTCATATTATTACGTTTATATCATGACCACACCTCCTCACACTGGTGCTGCGAGTCAGTTAATGGCACCATTTTGTTACCGTGATTGTGTGTGAATTCAACGAGCTGTGAATGAGTGTACGGACGTTATTTTCCGCCATTTACCTTTTTTCGCTCTTTCTTTTCCTCGAGAGGCTGTTTGTGATAGGCGAAAATTGTTGTTTGCCAAAACGACTGGACATTTCTCATCCATTAGCTAGCCAGTTCTCTCACGCGCCTGCAGCGGACAAAACCACGCTTGAACCCCAGGCCAGCGAGATAGACTGAGATTATTTTCGTCTTTTCCTTTTTCTTTTTCACTCGATGTTGTTTATGAGGAGTGTAAGTTAATTTTACTCATACAGCAGCCGCGATAGCAGCGGAGGAGAGACGATGGTGGCGCTAATATGGTGAGTGCAATAATTTAACGACCACGTTTAATAGACATGGCTGTTGTTTGAAAGAGTAAGTTTAAATTAATTAACGGTTTAAATACAAAAACGGATGAATATACTTCTGTTCTATCTAGGTTCAGAGCCCTCTTAACGACTATCTTGTTTTGGAAGGAAGAAGAAATGGAAGAGATGCTTTGGAAGTGTAAGTATGGCCCTCATAACTTTGATAAGAGAACATAGCTAACGTTATAGAAACATTATCCCCCGGATTCACAGGCCAGTCTCAGACTAAAATGCATGTTCAAGCTGTCTTACCTGAAAATATCTTGTACTGACACATCTTAAAATATGTCAGTGCCATTTTTTGTGTCTCAAGATGCACACCAGTAAAGTTCTTAAGGCATTTTTATAAAAGTTATTTAAATATCCTAATTTAACCAAGGCCTAGTCCTGGCTTAAGCTAAGCCCTGTCTGTGAAACCCTGTCTCTATGTTCAAACATGGAAGTTATACAAGAATGAAACAATGTTGTTGTTCACATCAGGCATGTACATACATTTAAATTACTTTATGCACTAAAATGTACACTTATGCCACCTCACATCAAAACTCCAAAGTAGCAGTATGTCATGTGGGTTAACTGAGACCTGTTTTGAGGAGGATCACTTTATTGACTGGCAAATTGCACAATTAAATGTAAACCCTCGAGTCAGATGCCCTTATAAAGACTGTAACTTTAATGTTTGCTCTTCACAGAAAAGTTGTCAACGACAAGCCTGACATCACCCAAAGGCCAGCTCTTTTTACCGTAAACCAGGTATGTATAAATGCATTCATCCCATGTTGTATTTGCCATAATTACAAGATTCCAACTTGGAAAAATAATCCATGTCCTTGTACAACTCATAATTACCATCTGTAATCTGGGAGCTTCTACTTGTACCACATGACTGTACCTGACTGCTGCAGATTAATTTAGGCATGGATAGTGTTGCCATAGAAACGCACAGTTCCCGGTCCAAGGACATGAACAGCTCTAAGTAGAACATGGTGTGAACACAGCATATGATCTTGAGTATTTAACAACAGCATTATCTAACTGACTTGATAATGTCTAAAATCGTTGCACGGCTTAAATTATACATTTATTAGGCAGTCTACTATCGAAAGTGGTTTTCGTCCTATTATTTCGTACATGACATAAGCGTGCTCTGGCCCGGAATGTCTAGCACAAGTGTGAGCGCAGGCCAGCGGAGGAGTGGAGAGGGGGGATAATCGTGCTCGGCCTCGGTTCAAGGTAACTGTGCCTTGTGTGAGTGCACCCTAAGCATTTTGCACTTTTCCACTGCATGGTACGGCTCAGCTCAGGGTGGCACGGCACGGTTCAGACTCGGTTTGCATTTCTACTGCAGTTTAGTATAGCTTTAGAGTGGGCGGGATTATAGACATGTCGTTATAGTTGCGCTGCCTCTACTGCCGTGACCTCCTGAAAAACTTTTTTCATTCCGCATCGTCTCATCAAGCTCTCGCTGGATCCACTCCTCTGCTATCAACGAGAGGAATGTCTGTACTTCCTCAACAGACCATGAAACAGCCATTATTTTGTTGTTTAAAAAAAGGTGTGCTTGTTCGAAACTGTTGAGTTTGTTCAAAAAATTTGCATTCGATCCTCGCTGGCGGTGCTGATTTCATCTAGCGGGTCTAGTGTCTTGTGTCACAAGTTCCATGATGCAGGTAGTGACGATTCCTATCAGTAATCGGCAGGGTTTACATCACATTTTGGTAACGGTACGGCTCGCTTGGACCTCAGCCGAGGTGGTACTGAAAAAAGTAACAGGTACTGTACACAGTGGAAAAACCCCAAAAGCTAGCCATACTGTGCAGTGGAAAAGTGCCACATGTGCAATATTTCTAGAGAGAAGAGTGGCACCACCCCTGGAGGGATGAAGACCATCCTTTTAACAGGTGAGGTCTGCCCCAAAAATTTGTCCAATTGTCTATGAAACCTATGTCATTCTGCGGGCACCACTTAGACATTCAGCCATTTAGTAATGACAGTCTGCTGTGTATCTCGTCACCACGGTAAGCAGGGAGGGGACCAGAGCATATTACAGTGTCTGATATCATACTTACAATTTCACACACCTCTTTAATGTTATTTTTAGTGATCTCTGAAGTCGAACATTATTAGTGTCGACGTGAATAACAATCTTAGTGAATCTACATTTAACATTAGCCAGCACTTTTAAATTTGCAAGATGTCAGGGGCTCTGGCTCCCGGTAAACATTGGACTAT